TTGGTTTAGTTTAAAAAAAAAAATATATGGCCAGGCGCGGTGGCTCAAGCCTGTAATCCCAGCACTTTGGGAGGCTGAGGTGGGTGGATCATGAGGTCAAGAGATCGAGACCATCCTGGTCAACATGGTGAAACCCCGTCTCTACTAAAAATGCAAAAAAAAAAAAAAAAAAATTAACTGGGCATGGTGGTGCGTGCCTGTAATCCCAGCTACTCAGGAGGCTGAGGCGGGAGAATTGCCTGAACCCAGGAGATCGAGGTTGCGGTGAGCCGAGATCAGCACCATTGCACTCCAGCCTTGGTAACAAGAGCGAAACTCCGTCTAAAATATATATATATATATATATATATATATATATATATATACATTTTTTTTTTCCAAGCTGGAGTGCAGTGGCGTGATTTTGGCTCACTGCAACCTCCACCTCCTGGGTTTCAGAGATTCTCCTGCATCAGCCTCCCAAGTAGCTGGAACTACAGGTGTTAACCACACCCAGCTAGTTTTCATATTTTTAATAGAGACAGGCTTTCACTATGTTGGCCAGGATGGTCTCAAACTCCTGACCTCAGGTGATCTACTGCCTAGGCCTCCCAAAGTGCTGGGATTACAGGTGAGAGCCATGGTGTCTGGCCTGGTTTAGTTTTCTTCATTTTTCTTTCTTTGGTATTCATTGAGCTTACTAGATTTGTGGGGTTATAGTTTTTATCAAATTTTAAAAAGTTTGACCATTATTTCTTTAAATATTTTTGTCCTCCCACCCTGTAAGTCTCCTTTGAAGACTCCAGTTGCTCATACATTAGGATATAGCTCACTGACGGTCTCTGGTTGTTTTTTTTTTTTTTTTTCACACACTCTTTTCTTTCTGTTTCAGTCTGAATTTTTTTTAATTGTTAGGTTTTCAAGTTTACTAATCTTTTCTTCCACAAAGTTTAAAATGTTACTAATCGCATCAGTGTATTTCTAACATACATGGCAGTTTTGGTTTTAGAAGTTTGTTTGGGTCTTTTTTCATCTTAAATAGCTCTCCTGAACTTTCTGAATCTATATGTATATGTATACCTTAAAGTTACAATGACTGTTTTAATGCCCTTGCCTGTTCATTTAACATCTGTGTCAGTTCTGAGAGGATAAGGTTAATTGATTATTCCCCTCATTATCCATTGTATTTTCATGCTTCTTGCATGTTGAGTATTCTTTGATTGGATACTGGACATTGTGACTTTTACCTTGTTGGCTGTTTGATATTTTCATATTCTCATAAATATTCTTGAGCTTTGCTTTGGGGATGCATTTAAATTACTTAGAAACTGTTTGTTCTTTTCAGATCTTGCTTTTAAGACTTTTTAAGCAGGACAATTCTCAGTCTAGGCCTAATTGTTCTGCATTGCTGGGACAAGACCTTCCTGCCTTCCTGGATACTCTACTTGGTGTTCCGTGAATCTTGAGGTTTTTTTTTTTTTTTTTTTTTTTTTTTTTTGTCTGACTAATGGAAGCAGGCTCTCTTCTTGGCCCTGTATGAGCAGCAGGCATTGTTATTTCTGATTCTTTGCAGTGGTTATTTCTCTAGCTTCAGGTAGTTTCCTCACAGACATGCACTGATCAATACTCAGTTTAATACTCAAGGGGGAGTATTTGTGTTGCTATAAAGGAATATGTGAGGCTGGGTAATTTATAAAGAAAAGAGGTTCATTTGGCTCATGGTTCTCTAGGCTATAAAGAAGTATGGGGCCGGCATCTGCTTCTGATGAGAGCCTCAGTCTTCCTCTCATGGCAGAAGGCAAGGTGGAGCTGGTATGTAGAGATCACATGGTAAGAGAGGAAGCAAGAGAGGAGACATCGGTGTGCCAGGCTCTCTTGGCAACTAATATAGTGAGAACTCACTCACTCCTTTTCTTCCAGGAAGGGCATTAATTATTTATGAGCGACCCACCCCTATGATCCTGACACATTCTGTTAGGCCCTGCTTCCCCAACACTGGGGATCAAATTTCAACATGAGATGTGGAGGAGTCAAACATCCAAACCACAGCAGGGAGCCTCTGCAGATTTTTACCTTCTTTATTTGTGCAACTCTCTCCTCCGCAGTATTCTATCAACACAGCTGCCTCTGTGTTCCTGGCCTCGCAGCGACACCTGCTCACCTCCTGGGGGCCTGCTGGATTCCACCTTAGGTTCTCCTTCTCTGTACTGTGGCCTGGAAATCCTCTCAAGTCATAAACCGGAGGCAATCATAGGGCTTACTCCATTTGTTCCCCATCTACAGGGATTCTTTTTTTTTTTTTTTTTTGGTTAGTGTTCAATATTTTAAAAACCATCGTTTTAGATTTTTGTCCATTTTTGGTTGTTGCAGGTGGGAAGGTCAATCTTTTTGTATTCCATGGCCAGAAGGAGAAGTCAGCATTTAATAACTTTCTTTCTTTCTTTATTATTATTATTATTATTATTATTATTATTATTCAAAACAAGGTCTTTCTCTGTCACCCAGGCTAGAGGGCAGTAGTGCAATCATAGCTTACTGCAACCTCAACTTCTTAGGCTCAAGTGATCCTCTTGCCTCAGCTTCTTGAGTAGCTAGGACTACAGGCATGCACTACCATGCTCAGCTAATTCATTTGATTTGATTTGATTCAGAGGCAGGGTCTCACCATGTTGCCTAGGCTGGTCTCAAACTCCTGGGCTCAAGCACTCCTCCTGCCTTAGCCTCCCAAAGTGTTGGGATTACAGGCATGAGCCATAATTCTTTTATATGGATCCAGCCAATATTCTTTTATAGTGAAAAATATCTATCATAGATAATTTAAAAATATCTCTTTAAGTTGCTTTCCCTTTTTCATTCCGTATTTTGCTTTTTTTCTTTATCTTAGTCTTACTAGAATGTTATTTATTTTATTAGGCTTTTCGGAGAACAAAATTCTGATTGTGCTAATCCTCTCCATAATTTTTTCTCTATTTTATTGATTTCCTTTTTTTTTTAGAGAGAGGGTGTCACTCTACCACCCAGGCTGAAGTGCAGCGGCCTGATGATGGCTCACTGTACCCTTGAACTCCTGGGCACAAATGATTCTCCGGCCTCATCCTCTCAAGTAGCTGGGACTAGAGGTGCACGCACCACACCTGCTAGTTTTTTTTTACTTTAGTAGACACAAGGTCTCACTATGTTGCCAGGCTAGTCTTGAACTACTGGGCTCAAGTGATTCTCCCACCTCAGCCTCCCAAAGTGTTGGGACTACAGGCCTGAGATGCTGTGCCTGGCTACTTTATTGATTTCTGTCTCCTTTTTTCATTGTTTTCTCCCTTGTCACAAATTCTTTCTTTGAGTTTGCTCCATTGATCCTTTTCAGTTTCTGAGTTGAATGTTTAGCTCATTTGATATCAGTCTTTCTTTTCTGATCTTGTCAGAGCTGTGAATTACTTTCAGGGACTGGATGCTTCGATATGCAGTGCTTTCATTGGCCGTCACCTCTAAATGTTCATTATTTCCTGCATGATTTTCTTTTTATAGGAGAACCACTTAGAAAGGTTTTGTTTTTGTTTCAGAAAGGGGATTTTTTTGATATGTTGAAAGTTGATTTTAATATTATTGACTTGTGACTCAAGAACAGAGTCCGTAGACCAATGATTCCCTGGAGTTTATTGTTCTCTGTGGCATTGTTTCTGAATGTTCCCTCTGTGGTCATTGAGCAAGTGTTCTCTGTTGGGAGTTGTAAAATTTACATAGCTAAAGTGGAGATTATTCATTGTGATAGTTAAATCTTCTATATCTTTGCTTAATTTTGTCTGTGTAATCCAGCAGTTTCTTAAGGGGAACATATAAAAAACTGCAGTCTCCCGTTAATTGGTCACCTGTTTCTTTGTGTATTACAGGCTTTTCACTGCATCTTCTTGATCATTTCTTGTTTTTACTTTATATAATAAGACTTCTCTTTGTCCCTTTATCATGATCTTGCCTTAAATACTATGATCCAGAAAGAAAATTGCTATACCATTTACTTTGTGTTTCAGATTTGCTTGGTATTTCTATCCCTCCTTTCTGTTCCCCCTTTCCGATCCCCTCTTTCCAATTTATCTGTGTCTTTTTTCTATCCCCCCGTCCAATTTATCTGTATCTTTTTGTTTTAAATTTGTCTATTCACATAGTATATTTCTGGATATCTTTTTTCTCTAATTACAAATTTTTTCACCGGGTGCGGCGGCTCACACTTGTAATCCTAGCAATTTGGGAGGCCGAGGTGGGTGGATCACCTGAGGCCAGGAGCTCAAGACCAGCCTGGCCAACATGGTGAAACCCCATCTTTAATTAAAAAAAAAAAAAAAAAAAAAGAAAGAAAAATAAAAAAGATCAATTCTTTCGTTTGTTTTTTTCAACCCATTTGCTATTGTGTTAGGACTGATCATAGCCACTTGTATTTTTTTCTATTATCACACTTTTTTGTTTTGTAAAGAGACGGCATTTCAACATATTGTCCCGGCTGGACGGTCCTTCCGCCGCAGCCTTCGGAGTAGCTGGGACCCCCGCAGGCCAGCAGGCGCTTTCTGTTTCCAGTGGGTAGACGGTATTTCCTGCTGCTTTGAAGAGTGTGCAGTGATTAGATGTCACTCAGCTTGGGCCAGGCATAGTGGCTCACACCTAAACTAGCACTTTGGGAGGCCGAGGCAGGAGGATCGCGTGAGGTCAGGAGTCTGAGACCAGCCCGGCCAACATGGGGTGAAACCCCGTCTCTACTAAAAATACAAAAGTTAGCCAGGCGCAGTGGCGCGTGCCTGTGATCCCTGCTACTCGGGAGGCTGAGGCAGGAGAATCGCAGGAACCCAGGAGGCGGAGGTTGCGGTGAGCCGAGATCGCGCCATTGCACTCCGGCCTGTGTGACAAGAACGAGACTCCGTCTCAAAAAAAAAAAAAAAAAAAAAAAAAAAAGATTACACTCAACCAGAGAATCCCGGAAAATCTCTATCTTAAGGTCCACAGGGCGAATCACACACTGAAAGCCGCTTCCTTCACAGCACCACCCGGATGACTTTTTGCTGAGTGACCAGGGCTCGCGAGAGCCGCCCGAGATCTCGCGGCACAGCGGGTTCCCGCCAACACCGGGACCCGGGCCGGGGCGCCGCGAGGGGGCGCCACGATGCGAGCCGGCTTTGCTCATGGCGTCCCGAGGCGGCCTCCGCAGGGGCCGTGGAGGCACCCGCCTGAGCCTCCACCTCCTGGCCTGGCTTCAGCTCCTTCAGCCCCTGCTCGGTGAGGCTGGGAGTGGGCACCGGGCTGCGCCCACGCTGGGTGTGGGGTGGCCGTGGGGGTGCCGTGGGAACAGGCGGATGGGGAGGAGGCACCCCGGGCCAGCTCCTGTTGTCGTGCGTGCCCGTCTTCACCAGGTGAGCCATACCGACCCGAGGAGGCTTCCAGAGTGACCCCGGCAAGCCCAGAGGCCCGGACGCCTCCCATGCGCCTGCAATTCCCGAAGATTCCAGAAACCTCTGTGGCTCCAGGGCCTCCAGGATCCCGGGTGACTTCAGCCTCGGCAGTGGGAGACTGGGTCTCCGACCCTCGAAGGAGGCTCCCTCACGATCTTGTCTATGGTGCGAGATCTGCGCCGGCCTGCTGGGGCGGGCGCGGGGGCGCGCGGGGAGGGTCCGACCCCGGCCTAGCGGATTGGAGGGGGCCGGACAACCCGCCTCCGCCCCGGCCGCGGGGCGGGGGCGGCGGGGGGGCAGTGGCTTCACTTCCAGTCCCCTCTCTTTACTGAGCCCACCAGCCTGCGGCCATCGGATTTCCAGGATCACCGGCGGGTTACCGGCCCCAGAAAAGAAGTGGCCCTGGCAGGTGAGCCTGCAGACCGGCCAAGGACACATGTGCGGAGGCTCCCTGATCGGCAGGCGCTGGGTGCTCACGGCCGCCCACTGCATCTATGGGTGAGTGTTCGGGGCTGAGTTTGGGCCCGGCTCAGGCTGTGGGACCTGGAGCCAGTCTGTCCCCCCTGCCTGAGCTTCTGTAAAAGGGAGTGACAGCCCCATAGTTTTTATCCAGTCTGGGTGAGACCTGAGGATTTGCGTTTCTAACAAGTTTGCGGGTGCTGCCCCTGCAGCCGCTGGTCTGGGGACCACAGGCTAAAGGGGTCAGGGGTCCTGGGGGGATATGGTTTGAGGGAGGGAGGTGGCTGCTGGCTGTCATAGGAAGATGGGACCAGGCTGGGAAGCACCTGGAAGGCGTGGAAGGAGAGAGCATAGACCCCCCCCAGGATCGTCGTGAAGTCCATCTTTTCTCTCAGCGCCGACCTGGACTACAGGGTGAAGCTGGGAGACGCTTACTTTGTGGCTGATTCCAAAACGGCACCGGTGATCCCGGTTCAAGACATCATTTTTCCCAGCGATTTTGATGCCACCACGTTGGTAAACGACGTTGCCGTTGTTCTGCTCGCCTACTCTGCGAATTACTCCTCACATATCCAGCCTGTGTGCCTCCCCAAAAAGTTTTTCAAAGTGAAAGCTGGGACAGAGTGCTGGGTGACCGGATGGGGGAAAACAGTAGAGAATGGTGAGATCGGCGAGTGGGATGCTGAGGTGGGACCGCCCGGTGGGCTGGGGTTGGCCTGCAAGCTACTGGGAGAGGCAGGGAGGCCACTTTCTAGCAGGTGGGTAAGGGAGGAGGGTGAAGATGCCGCTAGGAAGTAATTTGACAACTGTGTTATGAATTTCTGTTGTTATTTCGGGAGCTGGGGGCTTGGAGGCCAGGTGTAGTGGGTTCTCTTCGGGGTGAATTTCAGCTCAGGGTGATGAGCTGTCTGCCAATAGGAGCCATCCGTCACTAGAAGTACCTGCCTTGATGGGTTGAACTTCTTCGCCCTAGTGGTGTAGGCCAAGCCAGAGCAACCCTACCAGTGAGGCTGCGTTGGCTCCCATCCTTAGGGAAAGGCACTACCTGTTCAAGAGTCTGTGATCCTGCTCTAGAAAGTAAAGATGCTTTACAGATGCACAGGACAGCTTGTCATTTCTGCTGATACTCAGAGTGACAGATACTTGGTTGGGACTTTTCAGGCCAGCAAACCTCTTCCTCCCCTGATTTGTTTTTCCTTTTACTGTCTTGGTTTTATTTCTTGTCCTTTTCTTTGTTCACATCAACATTAGGCTCAAGGTTCCTTCTCTGTCAAGTGGGGACAATATCCACTGCCCTGACTTCCTTTAACTTGGCGGTTGTGTTAACACTGATCAGGACTCAGAGTGGGCACTGGGGGCTCCTGTCCTCTCACTTTGTGAAGATCTGTTCTCTTGTAAATGGTCTCTTTGCAACTTCAGGATCAGGGACAGCTTTTCTTCAGGAAGCTGAGCTAAGAATTATTCGCCATGAGAAATGTAGAGAGGTACTCAAGAAGATGGGACACGAGAGTGAGACAGTCAAGGAGGGGACCATCTGTGGCTACAGTGACCAAGGGAAGGATGCCTGTCAGGTCAGTTCATGGGCCTCTTGCTGCCTCAGCATTGCAGTTGTCTCCTCAGAGCTTCCTCGTCCGCAGCCAGTAGGGCCTGGGTTATCTCCTAGCCCCTCGGTTTACCCTCATTCATGGTAATGGGACGTGAGGACCAGCCAGCAAGGCTCTCCTGGGCAGCCTTCCTGATCCTTCAGGAGAGAGCAGCTAACACAGCCTGGAGTGGGAGGAGGGGTGAATCAGGCAGGTCCCACCAACAATGCGTGCTCCATGTGGGCTCCTTCTGTGTGACAGGCAGTATTACCACTCAGGTAAGCACTAGACTCATTATTGTCTCAGAGTAGGCACGATTCCATCATGTGTATTAAGTTTTTTGGAACCCGCCTTTTCAGTAGGTGCATGATTTTGCTTTATTGGAAATCATCAGTTCTCAGCTCTCATATTGACAGATACCTAAGGCTAGGAGGGTCTTCGGGGTTCCCGGGGAGCCCCCTGAGTGCCTGGCTCTGCAGTGCATCGCAGTGCAATCACCCTGCTCTGACATGGAGCCTATTTGTTTCCTACAGTGATTGTCTTTCTTTTTCCAGGGAGATTCTGGGGGACCCCTGGTCTGTGAATTAAATGGCGTATGGGTCCAGGTGGGGATTGTGAGCTGGGGCATTGGCTGCGGTCGCAAAGGATATCCTGGAGTTTACACGGAAGTTAGTTTCTACAAGCAATGGATTGTTGATCAACTGAAACAAGCTTCCTGTCTGGATTCAGCAAACTTTCTCACTCTATTCCTGTGTCTGGTGATGCCCCTGGGCATCCTGGTGACCCCGTGATCAGACCCCATTCCACTCTCCTGCTGTTTCTGAGTCTCACACTTAGGCATCTCCTCTGACCAGCCTCCCACTCCTTCTCAATGCCCTTTCTGCAAATCCCAGTTGGAATCCACGGGCCCTCTGGAGATCCACACAATAAAGCATGGCGGGGAGACTGGGGCCTGGAAAATGTCCCTGGCTGGTGCTCTGGTCACCTGCCTCCGCCGTGCCTGCACGAGGGCTGTGCTCTGCTTGGTGGGAAGGAGGGATGAACCAATTCCAGCTAGAGGACCAGCCACCCTGCCAGGGGGCCACGGTGACTCATTGATATCTGGGGGAACATCTATGAAGGAAGAGACATCATCAACCTTGAAGCAAGCGTTAGACGTGGTTCTAGTTTCAGGACTCCCACCTGAGACTTTGTGAAACCAGCCAGCTGGGCGATTGCTCAGAGAGAGTGAAGGAGGCATTCCCAGGTCCCTGGAGAGGTGTGAGGCCTGGGACTTCCACTCTGGCTCAGTTGTCTGGGGCTGGGAGAAGTTCCCCTGTAGCCAAGTGTGGGTCCCTCTGTGAGTGGACAGCCTCTGCCCCACCAGCTCTCTTGGGGCAACCCATTGTTGGCACCCCCTTCCTCAGTGCCTCAGTGGCCGCTTTCAGGGACACCACAAGTTGTGTTGAGGCAGTTATGGAGTGTGGAGTTTTCAAAAATCAACTGAATAAATGTTTGGAGAGTCTCCTGTTACTGAAGCTGCGCTCACCTGGGGAGTTTGGTGGCCTATAACATACTTGTAGATTAATGGTTTCCCATTTAACGAAGGAAGCTATTTATGGTAGAAGGAAGGAAGCTATTAAAATGTAGAGGGACCGGTGAGGCAGGCCCTGCTTCCTCAGACATGAGCTCTAGGGATGGTTTTAGCCAGTGGGTCTTGTTCCCTGTATACCTGTTATAGCCATCAGCATCACTGCAGGGAGCTCTGTAGTTGAGTTTAACAGCCTTTACAGCTAGAGATAGGGGATCAAGAGACACTGGAAGTGGGCCCAAGAGTGAAGTTGGGGTGTGAGAAATATTGCTCTTCCTCTACTGCTTCTCCTTGCTGCTCCCTCCCACTTGGTTACCAAAGACATGTGTTCCCACCGGGAGAAGGGCAAGAGAGATTCACTGTACTGTACATGGGTTCTCTCTCCTCATTACAAAGTCTGGGGTCCTGGAGTCTGTCTAGCTGCTGATCAACTCCCTCCCAACTTCTTGCCTTTTGCCCTTTTTAGGGTTGAATGTTTAACCCCCAGGTATGGGTGGGCTTCAGTCTGAATCAGTCCCTTCTATTGTCTGAGGAAGGCTGAGACTGAGAGCTTAAATCAAACGCAGTCTCTTAATGAATATAGTACTACTTGCTTTAAGAAACCACTGATTTATTTATAAATAAAACAAATTTAACTTTTTTTCCTAGAACATCCCATTCTGGTGTTGTTGATCAGCAGGTAGCTTTCTCCGTTTCGTAGCGTGCTCTTAGTCCTGTAGTTCATGCTTTACCTGCATCAGAATCCCCTAAGGCTTGTGAAAATACAGATTACTGGCCTGCACAGTGGCTCATGCCTATAATCCTGGCTACCTGGAAGACTGAGGCAGGAGGATTCCTTGAGGCCAGGAGCTTGAGCTCTTAAAAAAAAATAGCTGGGCAGGAGAGAGAGAGAGATCCAAAATGGCTGATCACTAGCAGCTTGGGATTGTGGCTCCCAGCGAAAGAGCAGAGAACGAGAGGACGCCACACTTTCAGACAAATTTTTGTTGCTCACACACCAGGAGATTCCCTGCAGAGGAGCCCCATGGGTGGCCAGCACGACTCTTGTGGCCAGCGAGGTGGTTTTGCTGCTGCCTTGGTGTGGCGGTTCTTGGTGCAGAGTCAGAAAAGCACCATCAATCTTAACGCTGCCGGCGCCGTGGGTTGCTCAGATTCCGGCGCTGGGAATCAACAAGTTGGACGTCCACTCAGAAACGCAATTACAAAGACGGTAATTATAAAGACCACAGATGGATAAATCTAAAATGAAGGGAAGAAACCAGCCTAAAAAGGCTGAGAATACCCAAAACCAGAACGCCTCTCCCTCTACGGGGGATCACAGTTCCTCATCAGCAACGGAACAAGGCCTGATGGAGAACGAGTGTGTTGCATTTTCAGAAGCAGTCTTCAAAAGGTGGATGATAAGAAACTTCTGGGAATTAAAAGAACTTGTTCTAACCCAATGCAAAGAAACTAAGAACTTTGAAAAAAGATTTGACGAAATCTTAACAAGAATACACAATTTAGAGAGGAATATAAGTGAATTAATGGAGCTGAAAAACACAACATGAGAACTTTGCGAAGTATGCACAAGTTTTAACAGCCGAATTGATCAAGTAGAAGAAAAGATATCAGAGGTCGAAGACCAACTTAATGAAATAAAATGAGAAGACAAGATTAGAGAAAAAAGGATAAAAAGGACCGAGCAAAGTCTCCAAGAAATATGGGACTATGTGAAAAGACCTAATCTACGTTTGATAGGTGTACCTGAATGTGATAAAGAGAATCAATCCACGCTGGAAAATACGCTTCAGGATATTATTCAGGAAAACTTTCCCAATCTCGCAAGGCAGGACAATATTCAACTCCAGGTAATACAGAGAACACCACAAAGATATTCCTCAAAAAGACCAAACTCAAGGCACATAATCGCCAGATTCACCAGGGTTGAAATGAAGGAGAAAATACTGAGGGCAGCCAGAGAGAAAGGTCAGGTTACCCACAAAGGGAAGCCTATCAGACTCACAGCAGATCTCTCAGCAGAAACCCTACAAGCCAGAAGAGAGTGGGGGCCAATATTCAATATCCTTAAAGAAAAGAACTTTCAACCCAGAATTTTACATCCAGCCAAATTAAGCTTCATAGTGAAGGAAAAATAAAATCTTTTGTGAACAAGCAAGCACTCAGAGATTTTATCACCACCAGGCCTGCTTTACAAGAGCTTCTGAAAGAACCACTACACATAGAAACAAACAACCAGTATCAGCCTTTCTAAAAAATACCAAAAAGTAAAGAGCATCAACATAATCAAGAATTTACATCAACTAATGGGCAAAATAGCCGGCTAACATTAAATGGCAGTATTAAACTCACATAAATTATTATTAATTCTAAATAAATGTCCTAATCCAAAGACACAGACAGGTAAAAAAAAGCCAAAACCCATTGGTATGTTGCATCCAGACCCATCTCACATGCAAGGATACACAAAGACTCAAAATAAAGGGATGGAGAAAGATTTACCAACCAAATGGAGAGCAAAAATAAATAAATAAATAAAAAGCAGGAGTTGCAATTTTTGCCTCCGATAAAATAGACTTCAAAGCAACAAAGATCATAAGAAGCAAAGAGGGACATTACATAATGATAAAAGGATCAATGCACCAAGAAGAGCTAAAGATCCTAAATATATACGCACCCAGTACAGGAATACCCCGTTATATAAGACTTATAAAGAGACTTAGACTCCCACGCAATAATAGTGGGAGACTTCAACATCAATGTTAGACAGATCAATGAGACAGAAAATTAACAACGATATCCAGGATTTGAACTTAATTAACATTTATAGAACTCTCCACTTTAAATACACAAAATATACACTCTTATCAGTACCACATAACACCTATTTACAGGTTTAAATTAAATATTGGTTGGCTGCTTGTTTGTTATTTTCTTCCCTCATTTTTTTCCCATGTCTTTATTATTAAGCACAATTATAGGCACACCCATTTTTAGACTGCTTTCTAGCCCAGGCAATAAAGCAACACCCCCCTTCTCTCTCCTTCTTTCTCTTCCTCTTCTTCATTTTTTAAAAATTATTTTTTATTCTTTCTTTTTCCTTTTCTTTTCTTTAAAAAAAAAATAGCTGGGCATAGTGTCCTGTGCCCATAATCCCAGCTACTCTGCAGGCTGAGGCAGGAGGATTTCTTGAGCCCAGGAGTTTGAGGCTGCAGTGATGTATGATCATTCCACTGCACTCCAGCCTGTGGGATGGAAGGAGACCTCATCTCTTAAACAAAACTTATAGATTACTGGTTCCTAGTTCCACCCCTGGAGTTTTCTTTATTTTTATTTTCATTCATTCATTCATTCATTTATTGAGATGGAGTCTCACTCTGTCACCCAGGCTGGTGTGCAGTAGCACAATCTTGGCTCATTGCAACCTCCACCTCCTAGGTTCAAGCAATTCTCCTGCCTCAGCCTCCCGAGCAGCTGGGACTACAGGCGTGTGCCACCATGCCCAGCTAATTTTTGTATTTTTATTAGAGACAGGGTTTCACAATGTTGGCCAGGATAGTCTTGATCTCTTGACATCGTGATCTGCCCACCCTGGCCTCCCAAAGTGCTAGGATTACAAGTGTGAGCCACCGTGCCCGGACACCCCTGGAGTTTTCAATTCTATAGGTCTGAGATGGGGCCTACATTCTCTGTCTTTCAGGTAGAAAGACCTAAAAGAATGTACATTTCTAACAAGAATGTACATTTACCTGAAAGACCTAAAGACCTTTACATTTCTAAGTTCCTAGCTTGCCTGAAGACTTCACTTTGAGAAGCAATTCTCTGGATTAACCTTCTGTTGACTGCCTTGGCATGGAAGTGGCACATATCACTCTATTCATGTGGACCCACTTACATGCCAGGCTGGGGAGGGAATGTGGCTCCAAGTCCAGCTGATCACCTCCCAATCTCTGCCATGCCTGGCAGATCCAAAGACAGTATCCTTCTGCAAAAAAAAAAAAAAAAAAAAAAAAAAATCTCTATGGAAGTGCAAGGCCTGGCATAAGCCACCATTCTCTTTAGCTGCCACGATCTTTCTGGTTGTCTGTGGAAGAAGACACATGTCTTTCCTTTCTCTGGTCTCCTCCAAGAGTCCTTGTTTTATAGCAGTCGTAGGTCCAGCTCAAATATCACTTTCTCAAAGATATCTTCTCTAATGCCCTAGCCTTACCGTTCTTTTCC